TTTGACAGAGTTCTAACATTTATCGTAATCCAGAACAAATCGTCGTGATAGGATTCGACACCGAAAGCTATTTGGTCGTAACATGAAAAGAATACGACAAAAGTGAAAACATAGTTTTTCTAGGTTACTGAGCTCAATGGACAGACCCTATGGAGCTCTGTTTTAATACAGAATTTACACTTCAAAAAAAAAATCGATTAATGTTGGTAAAGTCAAATCTAGTTAGTAAAATAATACAATTTAAGATGATACGTCTATTTTTGTTATTAATGCATTTGAGACATAACATATAGTATAATATGATAGAAAACAATAAACTAGTCTTTTACTTTCGAATCCGAAGTTCCTGTAATAATTTGGCGCAAAGATATTAATTTTTTAAAAAGAATTCATTAATTTCAAGACAATATTTTCGATGAAAACTTACCCCTACTAGGGTCACCACGTGGTAGCCTTGCGGCACCCTTCCGTCGGTTAGGCGGAAGACGAAGTGGGCAAAAGTACGCTGAAATTGCAGCAGCCTGAAATCTTTTGTTTGCAGCACAAAATCACAATTATTGAGGAAAATACTTGTCACTCATACACAAGAGTAGTATCATTCGATGCGTCGAGTATTCACTAACACTTTAACACCAAATTTATACTTGGGACTCCAAAAAATCCATGAAAAATTGGCAAAAACTCGGAGCTCAGACGAACAGCGTCCTACCTGGTTGAATGTCCACAAGGCTCTTTTACTTTAGTATAAATAAGGTGTAAGAGGGCTTTTCACGATGAATGAATTAAAAGGAAAAAAAGGCAGATCTCTCACCACTTGAAAAAGGGCTTATTGTTGGCGCCCGTTTAGTAGGGGCCTTGATTTCGAAGACAGCAAATATAACTGGGTTCTCAAATGCAGCCATATCAATGATTTTCAAAAGTTGGAACACAACCCATAGTCCTTCTCTAAAGGACGTAACTGCGGTTCGAACACAGTTTTCCAAGACAGTGATCGGCGTTGTGTCCAACGAATTGTACGGCAGAACAGATACTCTGCTGTGCTTCAACTAACAAAGATTGTCAACCGAAGCTCTTCCAAACAGATTTAGCTCGAATCATGTGTAGAGAATCACAGAGGATAGGAATGCATTGTCGGGTGTCTGTGAGGAAAAACCACTCATTTTTGACCGAAAAGCAAGAATTCGTTTGCAGAGGTGTCGGGAAAGAAGACACTGGATATCTGAGGATTCGAAACGGGTAAATGTGGTCGAATGAATCACTCTTCACCTTATTATGCACTGATGAAAGACCTCGAAATTGGCGAGAACCCCATACAGCTATGAATCCATCTGGCCTTACTCGCACTGTGCAAGGGTCTGGTGGGAGTGTCATGATATGGGGTATGTTCTGCTGGCATGGAAGTGGTGCTCTGGGGTTCCTCAAGGATAAACAAACAGCCACTAAGTACCTAGATGTACTAGCAAATCAAATGCCCCCTGCAATGTTGCATGTTTACCCTGATGGTGAGAGATATTTCATGGACGATAATGCAACTATACATCGTGGCAGAAGTGTTCAAAATTGGTTCTCTGAACATCAGTCTGACTTCCAACACTTTTCCTGACGGCCACCGCATATCCCAGATCTTAACCCCATAGAAATAAATGGTGTGGGTTATGGTGAAAAGATGTACCTGACAGCACTCTCCTCTTCCATCCAATTTTAAAGATCTGAAAAGCTTTATAGACAATGCATGGTATTCTCTGGACGTAAATGCATTCCAGAAGCATATAGATGGGATGCCCAAACGAATTAGAGCAGTTATCCGTGTTAAAGGTGGCCTAATAATATATTGAGCTCGGGTTCATAGTTCATTGGCCAGTGTGTGTATTTGAAAGTATGATTTGTTTCCATGTTGTAAGGCAAGTAATGTTTACAAAACTTACCGTACTTTGAAATCTGTAAAACATGCATATGTTTCAGTTCTACAGTATTTGAAACTCTAAAATATTCGAATTGATAATTACGTCACTATTACATGATAAGTGATTAAAATGTAAGAAGTTTATAAGATGGCAGCTAAATTTATAAAGCACCCTTCTTCCTCGTTTGTTCGTAATCAAGTGTCCTTCCTGTTTTGTATTACAGAAGATATTTTTTTCCTACCGAAAGGTTATTCTATAAAAAGGTTAACTTATTATTCCCATTTAAAATTTTTCCTAATAAAATTTTAAAAAAATAGAATAGAATTAAATAACAAAAACATAAGTTCGCTCAAAATTTCTTCTTGCATTAAACATCTTCATCACGAAATTATACATAATAAAATTTACACATGATTATACATAATAAAATTTACACACACTGATACAAGAATTACAAATACTATCATTCTAGAATAAAGAAAAAAACATGTATATGTGAACATTTAAGCGCAGAAATATTTGTGAACATGATTTATTCGAGTTGTGAGGCAAGTAATGTTTGTATGACTTTCTATATTTTGAATTCTGTAAGTCATGCATAGGTTACAGTTTTACAACATTTGAAACTCTAACTTATTCGCATTGAGAATTACGTCACTATTATATAATTAGTTATTAAGATGCAAGAAGTTACACAAAATGGTAGCTAAATTGATAAAACATCCTTCTTCCTCATTTTTTGTAATAAATGCTTTGTTTTGTCTCTCTGTTTTAAGACATGTCTCTCATTTTAAAAGCATATTTTAGAAAGGCTATCCTAAAAAAAATAAATTATTCCCAGTTCAGTTTTTTTCTTAATAAAACTGGAAAAGCAAAGCAATAAAAAATAATTGGCTTAAAATTTCTTCACGCATTAGAAAATTTCATTACAAAATGATTATGGACAATATAACAAACTTTACGCATACTGATACAAGAATTAAAAAACATTATTCTACAATGAAAAACCTCTGTGTGTGTACATTGTTTTGCTCCTATGATACCAGATTAGAAATTAGGAGAAAGAGCCGAATATACCCAGGCAACGACTTGTTGGCGCGAACCAGCAGATCGGCGAAGGCCCTTAACCACGCTATGCTCCTATAATACGAAGCTGATGACTTAATTTCCGTCGAAAAAGGATTCAGAATTACATAGTTTGAATTCATATTTTGAATTCTACAATACGTGCATAGGTTACAGTTGTACAATATTTGCGACTCGCAGAGACATATTCATACTTTGTCTGCACCCTATCAGCACAAGAGAAGAGGTTTTAGATCTCGGGGTAAATCTAGCTCCATGGGATCATTCTGTGGAAATATAATCTCCCAGCTTTACATCAGTGGAAGAATGCGCTGTCTAGTTTTCAAATATTATTTTCATGATCAAGACAAAGCTGATACATCCCTTGTCAGAATAGTTCCAGAACAAAGGTCGCAGAAAATAGAAAATTGCATTTACCAAGTAAATGATTCTAGCTGATGTCATAGTAGTCCATTGGCTATCTATACATAACTGCCAACGTTTCTGTAGGTCTTGGAAGCAAGCAGGCAAATCTTCATCTGCGATGCTTACAAGCTCCTTTGTCACAGCCCGTTGGATGTCTACAATAATATTGATGAAACTTTCCTTTCAGTTATTTTTTTGCTCACGGAACAAGAAAATGTCACGATAACCTTTAACACAAATGTGAGATCACGTCTGGCTCTATGCAATTATTCAGCAAAAATTCCTCTTTATGTTCATATGTTAGTGAGTGAGAGACAATTTTTGCATTAATTTTCTGTTTCCCTAAATCTTCGCGTAAAATCTTATGACACCCATCACGATTTAAATTCAATTCTTCTGATATTATACCTACAGTTGCACGACGGTCTTCTTGCAATAACTACCTTACACGCTCCACGAATCGATATCAGCTCTGCTATCGTCTTGCACTGAGTCTCTTCCTTCACAAAACCTTTTGTGCCACTCGAAAACATGACTTAAAGTACCTCGCCTGCGTATGCTTGCTTAACCATATTCCGCGTTTCACTATGGGTTTTCCCGAGCTTAACGCAGAGCTTATGTTCACTCTTTGCTCAAAATCAGCATCCCTTGTGTCACCTTAACGAATCCGAACAACGAATCCGACAACGAATCCGACAACAATCCGAACAGTGTGTTGCTAAAGCCTAGTAATTCTGCATGGAAACATGACGAAGGTCATGTCAAGTAAGAATACATACGGGATAACATAAAAACAACATTTGTTCCTTTTTAGCAGTTTCCGAGAGAAAGTGAAATAGACGAAACATTATATTGTGAATGTAAAATTAATGCATTTCAATAAAGGTATACAGAAACAGTGACATTAGAGTTCACGAATATCCAATCTGATTCTCTGAATATGTAGAAGAATGTCTCTGATATTTGTTCTGAACAGTCAATTTTTCAGTTGAAAAGGTAGCTTAGACTACAAAATTCAATTTTAATCTGACTCAAAAATCCTACCTGGAATATCAAATTCAAATTTCAGCCGCAAAAACGAATAATTGCAACTTGCCAGAGCTGGAAGAACTAATGTAAGGTATTCGCGAAAGACAGAAACAGGCTGTGTCTTACAATCCCCAAAACCTGAATCTAAATACTATTTAACAAATTTGTATTATGATGAGGAAATGGAAAGCAGAAATCATAATAAAGGCTAAAATTATAAATAATTTGTTTCTGTCAAATAATAAACGTACCTTCTTATTTCTAGTAAGAAATGTTACATGATAATTTACTCCCATAAAATACGGTAACTTCAATGAGAAAAATCGAAATAATTCTATCGGTTTTATTTCTGTCTTCACAAAGCTTCTGCAATTTACAATTCAAAAAAAGGGTTACAAATTGGATTGGACAAATGCTACTTACAGAGGAGTTTCCCAATTGGTAGTTTCACATTCTGTATTCTATCAATATTAAGTACGGTTTATAACTGATAAATTCAAACCAAATCACAAAAACACTTGACTTTTTGATATGGAGTCAGCACTCTTAAGACTGCCGACACTTGAGTAGAAGATTAGGAATGCTAAATAGTCTGAATAAGCTGCAGAGAGCATTAAAATATTTTCTAGTTTGAATCTGTTGAGAAAACATAGGTAAACGCACTATGCTTCCAGTTGGTTTTATAACGATTTTAGTAATAACTTTCAGCTTTGGTACAACAAGTACATATGAAATCCAACGAAAACCAGTATCTGTATTTGGAGTAAATTTAACTTCATCAGTTGAAGAAAATGATGAAGAACTGCTTAATTCTCCAGAGCAGATAAATTTAGTGGAGAATTCAACTGCAGTGAAACAAAAAGCAAGTACGTAAATATATTTTTAACTCTCTATTTTTAAGGAAATCTCTCACCTGTCTGCGTTATAAATTTATTTATCGGATTCATTATTTCTTCCATTTCAGAGCTAAATTTCTAAAGTGTTGAAATATAATGAATAAATTAAATTTAAATTTGTCTACAGATATTTAAACTGCTAGAATGTGCAATAAATATAAATTTAACATTTCATTTGATTCATATATTAACATGCATGAAATAAAAAATTAAAAAAAGACTAGAAAATTTTATTAGCCCAAAAGGGATGTTAGTCTCTAAGAGGTTATTAGTCTTGAAACGGCATGTTGCGTTAAATTACTATACATGGCATACAACTTTTAAAATTATTGCCACTAAACATCAACGCCTTGTATTATATTTAAATAAATTCAGTAATGAAGGATCTGCATGAATGTATGTAATTTCTCGCATTGTGAGGAAACAACGATACTTACAGTCGTTAAATTTTGAATAACGTAGTCCTCCACCCGAACATGGCCACCTGGAACCCCGAGTTTTGAATTTCAAATTTATTTACTATCTATTTCATAATCTGGAACACTTTAACAAATTTTTGATTAAGAAACTACATGAGCAGAGGCAACACTATAAGGAAAACAAATTTTTATCACCAGCGCGCGGCGGGAATGTCTGTCAAAAATTCAAAAAATATCCTATTTTAAAATAGTTTGTAATTTTGCTGTTGAATCGAATATTATTTGGCGAAAGCGCCGGGAACATGATACATAAACAAAGTAAACGCACAAAGCGTTAATACTGGATGGAATGTAACAGCAAACTGGTAGACCGCGATCTTATAAGCGTTAAAAAACCCTTTTGGGTGACTCTTAAAACCTCAAACCCTTCATATTTTTTTATGTAACTAAATATGGAAAGATTAATTATAATAATTTGCTGTCCCACTGTTTAAATAGCTTTAATTTTTAGTAAATGGAAACTTTTCAGACTCACTGCATTTTTCTTTAGTGAATAACCTTAAGAAAGAGACTCTGTATTTTTATGCTGAATGTGCTTTAATACTATAGAAACCGTCATTGATGGTTTTATCTTATGAGATCTTTCAAAGTGATAATAAAATTCGTTATGCTTTAAAATACGTGTTGTTAAATATGAAGACTTCATTAATATGACACATAAGAGCAATGAAAATATATTTTGACAATGCCTATTAATTAAATACTACATACGAAGATTTAACTGAGGAATAATTCTTTTGGTTTAGTACGCGTGTTGTTCTCCAATATTACTTAAGTTATTTATTGATTGGCAATAAAAATGGGGCAACACTCATCTGTGTGTTTCATCAATAATAGTTTTATAAATTTACAATAAAGTTATTATTAGTCCAAAGGGATTTGAATCCCGAAGGACTATTAGTTTCGTTTTGGCATTTTGCGTCGGACTCATAAATGTCGGTTCACTTTTCAAACTGTTGCCACAAAATGTTAGAGTCCTGCATTATATTTGAAGAAATTAAATAATGAAAAATCTGCATAAATGTATGTATATTTCTCGTATTGTGATAAAACAACGGTACATAGAGTCATCGAATTTTTGAATAACGTAAACCTCCAACGAATATGAGCATGTGGAAGACCAAATTTGAAATTTGAAATTTGTTTTATGATCGATTTCCTATTTTTTAAAAATTGACGAATTTTTGATTAACAAACTCAAGGATTTCAAAGCGAGTAATGGCAACGTTGTGCAGAAAAAATATTTTTATCTCCAGCGCGTGAGTCTCTGTATCGGAAATTCTAAACATATGCTCGTTTTAAAATTATTTTGCGATATTGCTGTTGCACTGGATCTTATGGTTTAAGTGCGAGGAACATGATATTTAATAAAGAAAGGTAACACACAAAATGTTAAAAAACGCCCCTTTGGACGTAATTTAAAATCTGAAACATTTCAGATTTTGTTTTTTTTGTTTTTCTCTTTTTTTATATATATTTTTTGTCTATTTTGTATTATTGCATTTACAGAAAAATTACGGAGAAGTCATAAAGGTTATTAGTGCATAACTTCAAACAGAATAATTTTTTCATCATAAATATTTTTATTTTGTATTCTCTGTTATGTAACATGTACATTCACTCTCTGAACGAATGTAAACTTTCAAGTCCGTGCTACCAGCACAGGAAAACGTAGTTTACGGATGCTAAGCAGTAATAAGGACATACTTGTTTTACTTACTTTTAAGGTTTTACGGTTTAAGTGTAGTGTTATGGTTTCTGTATTCTACTTGCAGTTAACCAACAATTACCGAAATTAATTTCATGAAATGTTTTTTATGAAACATCTACATTAGGGATTTTCAACCAGAGTGGAATTTCATTAAGAGAAGCTGTGGAATTTTTCTTAAAGAAATTCCATAGCTTGAAGTGGGAAATGTGGTCAGCATTTTATTTAGCTATTGAGCATTTAGTTTTAGTTTATGAATATAAAAATCTACTTTTATTCAAGCTTTGGTATTTTCCAACATTTTCTACGCTTTTCGTTGTTTAGTTGATAAAACATGTCACAAAATAATTTAAATCTAAATAAATGCCTATATGTATTTTTCAGGTTTTTGGAAAGGATGAGAATTGTCTAACTAACACGAGAGGGATAAATGGGGCAAAAAAAATGAGAACTACTGATTTACATTTTCGTTCCTAGTCCACTTATTGTGTTCTGTAAAATTTCTTTGATTGTTGTTGAGAACTGTTCTCCAACCAAAACATCCCTTATTTTTAATATAGTGCTTCAGTTATTGACATGATATCGGGATATCCTCTTGAAAAATTAGTAATAAAAGAATTATGTTGAAGAATTGATTATTTCAGGACTCCAATTTCAGAAATAAGTAAAATTCACATGAGAGGTTTTACAATTCAGGTAAGCTATCATTTATTAAAATAAGTTTTTGGCTCTTATTTGAGCTTCAAAATAAATTACAGTTTAAACTATCTTGCATTCGAAAAAAAAATTAGGAAAGAAAGATTTCGTAGTTCTAAAAAATGTATAACTTATTTTACAAGCATTCTCAGAAAAAAGGATAAAAACGGTAGCTTTAATATTCCTGTATAGATTCGATTACAGTAAATAAGGTTAATTTATGCCAGATCCCGAAGTTAATTTTGAAACTAAATCTGTTCTTTTTTTTTCAGAAATTTCAAAAAAGTGAAAAAGCTGGAAGTTTTTAAACTATGTTTAAGGCAACACATTTTTAAGGAAACATTTTGATCTTTTCAAGCTAAAATTTAGAAATAGAGATTTAGGTTATTCAGAGTGTGTATCAATAATATCCAAAAACGAATGTATTCAAATTATAATATATGCCTATAATTTTTTTTTCTAGTAGAATATTGAATATATTATCGTTTTTTAAAAAATATAGTTAATTCTATTGAAATAAATTTACTCATTAGAATATTTGAAATGGAACTATTAAAATGGTATGATTAAATGCGAAAGTACAACCAACAAACTAAGTAATGATCGCCATTGACACGAAATTAGTTGACTTTTCAATGGGAACGAACTAAATTGTTCTGATCCGTTAGCAATAATTAATAGATGCGAAAATGTTTCGTCTTTTTTTCGTCGAATTTTCATTAAAATCAATTTTCTTCATCCACATTTTGATAAATTCGGCTTCTCTCGAATTTTCAACAAATGTAAAATTTTCTTTCCGGCTGCAGACAACAGACCAGTTATTGCATTTAAGTATCAAAAAAGCATTAAGCAGCTTGCTCGCTAATTACCCTGAAATAGAAGAGCCGGCAGAATGACATTGCAAATTACCACAACTCAATCCATACGTAGATGATCGCCACTAACATATCATTACTGGAAATCTGGATATCATTCAAAACTCGCAACTTAAAAATCTCATTTGTTATGGTGTATAAAATATACCAGTCAAATATTTTCTACAAAATTCTACAAAAATTAAAAAACAGTATTAAGAAATTTGTTGTTAAAGCTAGCTATAAACTTAATTTGCCTAATAATGTTTTTTTTTTAATGGAAAAGTGAAATCCTTCAGAAAATTAAAACTAAATTCAAACTAGCAAAGTTTGAAAGTCCTTTAAATTTGTCTCACCGTCTTTCAAATTACAAACGTTTAAAGTAAAAATTTACAGTAACCAAATTTGATAAAAAAATAATAATTTTATCATTATATGAAATTTTTCCTACAAAACAATTATTAGAAAAGAACTTTTAGTGCCAATACTTGCAAGCTTGCAAATTATACAGAAACCTGTATAATAGCAGAATTAAAGCATTACATAAAAAACTCAATATCTCTATAAATCCAAGCTACAACAGATTTACTAACCCTTTTGCTCTTTCCCAATTCTATAAAACACCGCTTAAATTATTACCTAAATTGTAAATAGTACCAATAAATACAAGAAAAATATGAGCTATTAATTTTGGCATTTAACTTAAAAAATTGTAATTTGATCTACAATACTGGTAACACAGAACATAATTATGGCTGGACTAAAAAATACCAATTGTTATAACTTTGAAAACTTATATACTTTACTTCCATTAGAAAATATCTATACTAGCCTGTTTGATCTACCTAAAATCTTGCTTGCAATGCTGACAGTTCTAGATTTAGTAGATAAAAAGACTTCCTTAATTTCACTATTTTTCTTAACTACATGAAATTTTAATATCAACTTTTAAAGAATGTAATAATTAGCCTAGTGGGAGCTCACATTTCTACAGTACCAGTACCAGTATTATATCAGACTTTTATCAGTTCTGCATCTGTCATATTTGCTTCAGTAATGTATCTTGAATATTAATCTTTAACATGTTATTTTGTATGTCTTGTCGTGCACGTTGAATACCTCTCAGATTGCATTATGTATTTTGAAGGGGTGATATAGATAGTGGTGGACGTGGTGCTATATTAATTAACCGTTTGATAAGGGGATAATGCCCACGTCCTCCGTTCTCTCTCTCTCACACACTTCTACAAACCTTTGTAATATGTTTTTATTAAAGAATTTACCTTCCAAAAAGTTACTGAAGAAAGATTTAAATTACTACTCTCATACTTACAGATACATAGATGGCCTTATTACCTTTAATAACTTTAACAAAATAGAAAGTTCTCAGATTTATTCAAAGTGCTTTATTCTTAATAAAACAAATACTTTACAAAATGCAGTCGACTATCTAGATATCTTGTAATAATAAACTACAAAAAGATTCTATTGTTTAACATAACACGGAACTTCAATTTTATTACTAGCAAATTAATCAATTGGACTTCCATTCGAAAAATTTTCAAGTGAAACATTTCGAAAAATGTTCTAATACTACAATCATTAATCGAATACAATGCATTAAAATCTTTGTTCAGATACAATATATCTACGACACGAAGTTCTACTACTTATTAAAATTCTTAAAAATAATCAAGTATCAAATTACTTTATTAATCTTTATCTTAAACAGCAGGCGTTAATTACTGTTATTAACATAATAGGCCTATTTCAAATTCCTAAGCTTGCTCAGAAGCTCTTGAGGAGTGAAGATTTCTTTTACTTTTTTTTCTAAAAAGTCAATTAGCCAGAAATTAATTAATTTCTTTTGTTATGTTAGTTTAAAAATAAATTTTGCCAGAAGTCTATTCCACTCAACAGTTTTCATATGTACTATACGCTACTTATTTTCCCTTCATTCAAAAAATAGCATTGCACACGTTCCCGCCTAGGCTCTCTCTCATTTCTCCTATATTCTCCATCCCGGTTCAAATAGGCCCACCAGCGGCCAAGCGGTAAAGTCGCTGAACACTGGTAGTTCGGTCCGAAGTTCGAATCCCGCGAACGGGCTGGCTGCATGGGTGTTTTCGTGGTTTTCCCCATGTGTAACGTGTATACGAGCCAGTTTCCCTTAGAACGTCTTTTACGAAGGCATCCCTCCCCTTAGGCAGATAGCCCTCGAGGCATTGCCGTAATTCAATAATACCTAAACCTGTTCAAATTCCAGTTTCTATTCTGAATACGAAGAAAGTAACGTACATAGTATCAGTTTCACAGCTAGCAAATATGTAAGTTAATTAAATACATTTCCCACCTTTAATATGCATTATGTAAATTTCCTTTTTTCGTACATTTTGAATGTTACATTTTAGTTTTATGAGAATGTATTTTTGTCCATTTGTTCTTCCTTGTTTAATTGTTTTAAGAAAGTTTTAATTGTTTTAATATGTTCAAAGGCGAACGTGTCGGGAACAATTTTTCTCAAGTAATGAATTAAAACTCACTCTTTTAAGAATTATATATACGTATTTGAATATTGCATTTAAATTTTGACAGTATCGCCAATTTCTTGCCGATTTTTAATTGGCGATTTGAATAATTTAAAATTTGAATAATTTTATCTTTTTTTTTTTTTTTTTTTTTTTTTTGTCTTAATTTTTACCTGAGAAAAATACGAAACACTTGAAAGGTCAACTAATTTCCGATCAAATGACGACAGTTACTTAGTTTGTTGTTTGCACTTTCGCTTTTAACTATTCCATTTTAAAAATGTTAACGGGTAAATTCATTTCAATAGATTTTTTTCTGAGATAATATATTCAATAATCAACCAGGAAATATATTATTATTTTATTACTTTGCAGCTTTACTTAATACTAATTACTCAGTTTACTTATATGGCAAAAATGTGGAGTCTAAAAATCTAATATTACAGTCTTAATTTCTAAAGTTATAATAAAAATTTAAATGTGTAAAGAGATACTGAAATCCGGTGTGTTAAGTTAAAATATACTTAACTCGGCTCTTTCAATGTTAACCTCAAAGCACTGTATATAGTATCAGCAGTTCTCAACCTTTTCACTAACGTGCACCATCTAAACAAGAATTAATAACCTTTAATACCACCACTACGAAGTACTACCACCACCACAACTACTTACAAAGCTGAGATCACATATAAATTTAGGAGAGTTATAGAAAAACCTTAGTCAGGATGTTGCGGTTTTAATTTTTGAATTTAACAATCAAAATATTTTTCTTCTTTGCGTACCACCTATTTTTCTCTTGCGTACCACCGGTATATATGCATCTGCTTCACTTTGTTCATTCAATTGCAGACAGTTATTGCTATGTTAAGTTATGCAATGTTATCGATTTGTTCTTAACACGTTGTGAACGGCAGTAAACTTTCCGTATGGCCGGCGTCGGTCCCTGGCGACCGGCAGTGGAAAAACTCAAATCACATGATAAGCAGTTAGGACAGCAAAGTAATGAAAAAACGTTTGCTAAAATCGAAATATCAATAAAACGATTGCCTGTCATTGCTCGAGCTTCTCGAGTTTGCATCAGAGAGCTTCGTATCAGTAGACAACGCGTTTGCTAGGAATATTTAAAAGATGAAATAAGAACTTAATATCATACAAATAATAAAGAATTAGGACAAAAATTCACAAAATTTTTAAATAATTGCTGCAGTTTGTTCACTACAGTTGACAGCATGCATATACGTACGTGCATACAAATTTCTTCTTCAACGAATTACGGTCATTGCATTTGAAATCATTTCCTGCCTTGTTTGCAGTGATCATTATCATCTTCTAAATGGTAAATCTACAACTGACATATACATACAGATCCCCCGAAATACTTTCATTTCATCGACTGTGATTGAATTCATTTTGATACGATTTTGTAACCTGTACCTACTGGATTCAAATGTCAAATGTTCTAGAAATTCCTTGCCAAACATAACCATTTTACAGTGGTGTTTTGGCTTGATAAGCATTACATTTGGGTTTCAATTCACTCTTTTCGATAGATCTTTACCCACTCCACAATTTTCTTAAACTGACATTTAAAATAAAATGACTAAAATTACTAATTATGAATGAAAAATGGCAGTATAAGAAAATGTGAGCAATATTATATAATGTTTACTGTGAGAAATTATGGAAACAGAAGTAGCAGCCATTTTACAAATAGCAATGCTTAGTGATGCTATACAGCCATCTATGATCGACAGTTTAAAGTTCTAATAATATAGAATGAATAAATACAGGAATGGAATCTGTTAAGGCATTTGCAGAAGAATAAACAAATTTAAACTTTTAACTACTAGAGTGGACATGATGCAACAAAGGGTTAACCGCAGTTTTTGCTGAAATACTAAAGCAGTTCGGAGGAAATGGATATTCTATTTTATAAAAGGAGGGGAAGTATATTATAATCACAAACAATTCAGTCCCATATATAGCTGCATCTTGAAGATAATTTGTGTATCACAATTATGCCTGAGTCTAAGTCTGGTGTCTGCGCCCCAGCAGAAGATGGCTTATACTGTTTTCTAGTTTGTACTTTCTTAACTTTACTAGTTGTATTTTCTTAACTATTTTTTACGATTTGTAAGCTTACAATCGAATACTTATCTAAATATTTCCATTACATTTGAATGAAAAAATTTCGTAAAACAATAAACATGAAATGAAAAAGCTGCGCCTTCTCGTGGCCAGAAACATAAAATTGTAACTAACAGTAAAGTAACTGAACTCTCGCGATTCGTTCCGGGGCTGTAATCTCGGGAATGTCCGGGCTTGGCTGCATGGGCGTTTCCGTGAATTTGTGCTCTGTCTAAGGTCTACAGGAGCCAGTTTCCCTTAGAAAGTCCTCAGCAAAAGCCTCCGTCCCCTTAGGCAGAGAGCCCTCTAGTACTTTGCCGTAATCAAATAAGCCAAACCAAAGTAACCAAACTAAACTTTTGTTCACATTATAATCTTTAACTTGAGATAAACTTTTATTTCCGCTTCTAGTGTTCGCGGAGATGTCGGCGTTTCCTATAGCACATTAGTTTAAACTTGTTGACTGAGATATATTAAAAAATCGCATATTCTTTGCTGTTGAGGTGTGAAAATTCATGAAATACCGGAATTTTGCGTATGCTTCTTTTCTAATTAAATGTTTTCCATTCTGCAGGTTGTAAATGTGAGAATGGACATTGTGTTGTAAATACCGATGGAAGAGCAGTCTGTCAGTGTCCACCAGAGTTTTTTTTGGATGACGATAACACATGCAAAGGTATATTCAAAAAGTTTATCTTAAAATTTCACGACTCTAGTCTATGATTATTTTCCTTTTTAGCAGTTTATTGATTTATTATAAACACGGGCCTCTCACTTCAAACGATATGAAATTATTGCCACGTATCATGTTTTAAATTATGTGTACGTAGTTTTAGAACTCACATTAGAAATTGCGAAGGAATTGCTACATTTTTAAATCTCAATTCATATTATTCTCCTTTCTTTCTACTTGTTTCATGGTGCAACTGAAAGCAATCCGATTGCGTAATTCGGAATTAGAAAATTGCTGCGAAATCGTCGCTGTTTTTCCCATGTTTCTTACTACGAAACAAACCTACTGACAGTGCAGTATTACGTGCGCAGTGATCATAATTGAGTAGAAGACATCCACTTTGATAAATGACCGTATTGCACTGATTATGATAGGGAGATGTACTTGTGTATGAGGCTGAGGCGATGATTCCTCAGAAAAGTAATTTGAAGCATCAGTGATAACGGTCCAAATGGCTCAATTGTAAGTTGGTATTTTTCATAAAAGGGAGAAACTTGATATGATGTTCACAACACAGAGTAGTAAATCAAATATTTATAAAACCTTTTGTGAATACTGAATACTCTTGATTAATATATGCATTACATGCCTCTCGTATGTTACTTCCCAAATGATTTTACCTAATATATACTAATAAACACATACTGTTTTGAGCCACTCTTTGTGAACCATGGACAGCTTTCAAGAACGAAAAAAAATTGTATAAATACTTTTCGTTACTTTCAGAAATTTGACGTAATAAGGAATGGTAAATATGGAAGTTTAAAATGCTTTCATTACGGCAGTTAGATATGCCGCAATCTCTAATACGGATTGTTTGCGAGTATTTAAGGAATTTGATGAGCCGCGGGCAACAATTCCTACTCAATTATTACAATATTATTACAGCAATTTTCTTTTTTAACTGCTAAAAGTATTATTAAACACACTTCAACCTCTAACTGCCATCAAGACTTAGTGTGTAGAAATTCTACAAAACGTTGGTTGAATATTATTCGGAACAATATCCCTAATTAGACTCATGCTACTGTTATGGCGACATTAAGATTAAATATTGGACATTACTGCTTGACGACGCATCTGTTTCTCATTGGTATCCTACCAAGCCTACCTGACCTCTATGCAACAGTTTTATTTTCGGTAATGACCATCTTATGCGGTGCATTGCAATATGTGAAAATCTGAGACTGAGCGGTTTTGGTTTGCAAGACTGCGCACGTGTTAATGAATGTATTCTTTATGTATCTTATTTATATGTTATGTTGTTCATGTCAAGTACCTTGGCAACGGAAATTAAGAAAAATAAGAAAGAACAAACATTTCCTGGAACATATATGTATAGAGTAGATTGTTTCTGCCCGGGGAAAACTCGTTGGAAGAATTGACTTATTTCTGTGTGTGTGTATACTGGCAAAGCACACTAGGGCTATCTGCTACCTTTCGTGGGGACTTTCTAAAAGCTAAACACACATGGGGAAAACCACGAAAACGCCCATGCAGCCAGCCCTGCAATTACCAACTACCAGTTCAGATTTACCGCTCGGCCGCTGTGGGCCTTACTTAGTTAACAAAAAGCTAAACAGTTGCAATTACCAGTTCAGATATAAGAAGCAGTTTGATATACAGGTAATCACTACAGAACGTATGAGCACTGTTATTCCATACACTGAAGAAAACCCGTCATATGCATAAAAAATAGCGGTACTTTTCCGTTTTGCCGGTGCAGGCGATAAATTCGCCAATAATGGTACAACTGATGCCAAACGGAATATCCTCGCTGGTAACCTTTTATGCCTCATTTTCAAGACAAGTCTCAGCCATTTCTTATCAGACTGATTATTTCTTTCAATACTGGCATTTAATTAAATGGAATTTTTACCATATACTTCAGTTTTATGTTTAAGGCCATTCGCGGTAATTAAGTCAACTGGATGCAATCACACCGCTCACCCGAAGGCAAAGTCAAGGGTTAAATTCATTAATTCTACCATGAGAATGTAGAAAAGACAAAGTTAAGGTTTAAATTCATCAATTCTAATGAAAATGCACTAGCGATGTAAAGCACTGTGGTTTTACGTAATTTCTGAGTAAGCTATTCGTACGGATTGAAACAATTCTTGCATTTAAACTTGTAATCGAAATCATGATTTAACGTGAAAGTAATGTACAAAATACTGAGAGACTTCGATTTTTGTAGCGTAGTTTACATGAGATAAGATCACTTGGGGTCACGTGATGAGAACCGGCGAATCAGGATGTTGAACCATGAAAGCATAGTAAATTCTTAAATTAATGTACTTTTTACAAATTTACTGTCTTTATTTATTGGCTTTTACAAAATGTTAAACGATATTAAAATGTTTATGTCTTCAAGATAAAACATTATTAGAACTAACATTTGTTAACATTTCTTATGTGTATACTGTATGTTCTCGCCAATAAAGTCTGCTGGGCGAGATTTGCGCCGGCGAAACGGAAAAGTACCCAAAATAGCATCCATTGCGCCTTTACACTGGATGCAATGCCTTGCTATATACTTTTATGCGTGTCAATCGCTGTATCCTAGTCAAGATGCATTCAGAAGGCTGAACCAGGGTAAATGTGCTAGAATATTTATGAGACCCAGGTTTTACCTTGACAAACCATTGAATGTTTGCTTCTTAAATACGCCAAAAGCGCAAAACACCCTAGAAAGTTCTGATCGATGATAGAAATGCTTCCGAAAATCGTCCTCGTATCCTTGGCAGCTGTATACCAGGTTACAGCTTACAGCTTTGCTAGTACTTTTATTCTGCTAATTTGGTTAAAGCAAAAGGAAATTCTCTTCGCATATAAACGATTTGATATAAATATATATTATCATTTATATGAGAGTTGCTTTTTTGAAATAAAACACTGTTTTTAGTAAAATTGTATGTACGTTTGTTCTGGCATGCTATTGTGAAATTTCTGCCTTGGAGACACCGACCGATTTACCTAGAAGTATCAGATACTTTGTGATGGGCACCGTTCGACTGACTGACTGGCAGGTTATTGCCGGCAATGCAGTCCTGTGAACTGCGTATCCGGCACTATCAAACTAGCCACCATGGCGACATCGTGATAAGTCAATCGTCACGTAAATACAGTAAATAGGAAGTGGTAAAAAAAGAAGAGACCGGCACCATTCGGTCAGGAGAGCCAAGGATCATGGACAGAGGTGCAGACGTTGTCATATAATGCAATACAAACTGTCTACAAATATATACGAAATTCATCAAGTGGGAAAGTTTGAGTTACAGAGGTGGGCAGCTAATGGACGTAGGTCCTTATCATCCATTAATATGACGTAGTTGAAAGTCTGGAAAATATTCATGTGATTACACTTAAGTGCCTTATCATAAAAGTGCCTATTAAGTTTGAGTATGTGCTCCTCAAGTGTATCCAACCTAAAGTCATGGTGAAGAGTTAAGTTATTAACATACATATGCGCGTTAGTAATAGTACGAAGCACTCTATTCTGTATTAGTTGCATCCTTTTAATATCATTTTTACGTATCGTCGACCAAGCAGGCGATGCATATGTGATGACTGGCCTAATAGTAGTGAGGTAAATTAAACGCTTTCTTCTTAGGTCAAGACTTGAAATTGAACGGAGTTATTGTTTTTTGTCTCTGAAAAACATCATTCAAATGATGACAAAATCAGTTATGAGTCGGTAGACTTACTGCGGGTCAGATGATGTCAGATTTTTTCAGAAAGCGACTCCTGAAATCATAATCTCAAGAATCAGGATCAAATTTCTAAGCACGAGAACACTTATAACAAATAGAACTCGTAGCCATCATAACTACTTAATCTCGTATAAAATAAAACTTATAGTTGTTCATAGAAATTAGTGTAATGATGGAATACATGTCAAAGAAAATTAGGGAAATTTCATATTCTTTACTTTCTGCTGATAGTTGTTAGATTTTACGAAGTTTAACATAGTTGGAGTACCGCTTTGCAACTTCTTGTACGTAATGAATAGTATTTAAGAGCAACATTAATTCATCTAGTATATGTCAATACTGTATCATCAACGCAATAACTTCTCCAGAATACTTTTTAAACGTATTTTAATTTCCCCACAGTTGCATTTTTGAACCCTTAAATGAAGATTGAGTTTTCTTATTATAGTAAGTGTTCAAGTTGGGTCTTAAATTTACTTATCTTGCAATTCCTTAGCTTATAAAACATATAGTCGCTTCAATTAAATATGTTTTTTTTTTCTGAAACCAAATCGAATTCTGAAGAAACACAACAGAAGAAAGCTCAGAAGAAAATTTAATATCTTGAGAAAGAAGGAGTGAACCTGGCTATACTATAGCCTCTTTGACCTCATTGGACACAACTCAGCCTTGTTTCGCAATTAGAAGATTCCCTACTTATCATTTGCTAATTTTATGCAATGCCCAACTGGAACTATGGCTTTGTATACTTTAGCGACCGACCCTTTATGAAAGAAATCTATTTCATAAATCTAAAGGAAGGAAATCTATTTCATAAATATGGAAGGAAATCTATTTCATACATCTGGAAATATCACTGAAATAATAATCTATTTCAGTGATATTTCCAAATTTCGGTGAAATTTCCAGATTAGTATTTCCAGATTTTGGTGATATTTCCAGATTCCAGTGATATTTGAAAATAAGCATTTCTAAAGTTCTTCTTTTTGACTTTCTGTTAATATCTCAATTTAGCAGACGACAAAAATATAAGAATGTAAATAAGTAAATATATAATATAAGTAACTACTGAAACACCGAAAGAAAATGCTCTTGTTTCTTTTCTGTAATTTTCAGTATTTAGTATTATATTTATAATATTCTATACTTTCCTTCCACTACAGCATGCCACTGTGGTCAAGGGTCCAACTGCACGATTGAGGGAGACATTTTAAAGTTTAAACTATGTATTTGTAAAGAAGGATATAAAACTGGAATGTTTACATGTATAGGTGAGTTCATTTTGCATACATTAAGTAGATTGGAAATGTAAATACGTGGATGCGATGGCTAATATTGTTCATAATAATGACATTCTGAATCAATGATCTTGATCCATCTGTAATTAAATCCCTCGATTGCGTTGGAATGTAAACTAGATGAATAATCTGGACTTGAAATTAGAATTTAAGCTTAGAAAGAATGTTTTAGTACAATAAATTATTCATAATTCATACTTTTACATGAAGTTAGGACACACTCATTTATGTTGACTGCTTCATAAATTTGGGGACTGGCTCGTTAATAGACCCTTTAACAATCATTCTCCATCATTTATGAAGATGGTTCCTGTTATACATTATTAATTCAGTAAAGTTAACACACAGCTGTCGTTTGCTTGTTCGGTATAAATGCCTAAATGCAAGGCGTATAATAATGATATAAATGAGAAAATATTTCTGTTGATTTCCAGACAAATTATTCCTATTGAATTTTGTGTCAAAAAATCTTTAAATGCTTGAGTTAATCAAGAAATGTACGAATTACATTGCATTACACAGATTACGACAAAGTACACAAGATCTATCTGTGTAATAGTAGGAAAGCCCTTTGTGGAGGAATTTTTAAGAGAGTTGGTGTTGTATTCCTGTTTATTATGGGGAAAACTACGAAACCTTCCAAGCAGCCAGTTGCATGATATGATATGATATGAGGGCTGCAGCCCGATCTTCCTGGCAGAATTTACGTCGCTCTACGGCCTTTTTGCGGGCAGCGCCAGAGCAAGCCAGAAACAGCACTTTCAACAGACATAAAGAACAAACTAAAAAACCAATTTCAGATTAAAATCCCTACTGCAAGCTTATTATGATTAACCCTCTCCATCATTTTCCTGGCAAATTGTTTGAGGCTTTTAAAATCATTTAAAATATCATATATATTAAAAACATCATTTTTCTTAAACTCGTTCCTGATATCAGTAAAATATTTATATGTTTCCACATAATGCTCTGCAGTGCCCGGTTCATTACAGGTATCAAAGAGGTCAGACTCTTGTAATTTAAACCTTTTAAAATCGAAAGAAAAACGACCATGACCTGAAAGAAAAACGTAATGATTTGGTTAACGTCAATGTCTGAATAACATAAACCTTTTTTAAGTTTAACAAATTTCATATAACCTTTATTTCGATCAGACCTTTCCCACTCCTCCCTCCATTTATCATAAAAAAAAATTTTTCATCATACTCACAGCTTTCCTTGTTGATCCCTGTGCATCAATATCACTAGCATTAATATCGGTAATTGCCTCTTTGGACAGTGCGTCCGCCCTCTCATTTCCAAAATGTCCAACGTGTGCCTTCACCCAATTAAACACAATATTTTGATTTTCTCTCAAGTCTTTATATAATTCTCTATTATCTAATATTAAAGGGTTGTCTTGATCAGGTCGTGAGAGAGCATGAAGAACTGTCAGAATAAACATGTATATCATATTTCCCTTTAAGAGTCTTCTTAATCCATTTCAGTGAATAAAAAATAGCCATAGCTTCCGCTTGATAAATTGAGTCATAAATATTGAGTTGAAATTTATTATTCTCAATCTCTGTTCCATAATAATATATAACATGTTCGCAAATTGAAATTCCATTTGTCAGCAGCTTTACCGCGGTTTACAGCCAATGTTTTTTAATGTAATGAGCCACATGTTTATAGCGAGAAAGCGATAAGCATATCAGCCGTATTTCGTGAAAACGCAGGAAAAAAACCAGAAGGACTTTATAGAAAAGCAGAAGCAGGAGGATTTTATAGAAACTTAAAAATGGGCAATGATTAACTTATGTGGGTTAAAAATTGTGAAATATTGATAAACTGTTGAAAGAAAATAGACATTATCGATGCGGAATTGTTAGCGGAATTGAATATTTTTGTATTAATTTCTCACGATGTTGTTAAAAAGTTCCAGAAAAGGCTCGAGTTTATACAAGGCGAGCATTCATTCACTGAGTAAAGAATGCAAGCTGCATAGCTTTCCATGTTTTCAGGCATTACGTCAAGAAGTGGAAAAATATCACAAAATGCCAAGGAGATATAAAATGGTGCTCTGTGTTTAAGTGAACCTCACATATTTCTCAATGAACACATGAATTTTCACTACATACTGATTTGTATCAGCGTCACCTTCAGTTATCAGGCAGACTTACATAAGTGAACTGTAAGCGAACCGTAAGTAAGCGAATAACACAAGTGATTACTATAAATGTCACAAGCAAATATTACACAGGAACTCTGCAAATATGTGTACAGAACATTTGATGTACATTAATATTGTCCAGTATAATAATCACAATAACTTCTTATATCCAAGTTACCACGGACTTCTAGAGTAAACATTCCCTGTAAACTCAACAATGCATAAAAACATTGCTAAAATCCTCATTCAGCACAGTCAAAGTCTTGACAGGCTCTCTTCAATAACCACAGGTGACAAATACCCATCTTCCGAAGTACCTTTATAATTACTGCTACAAATTGTAATATTCTGCAGAGAGTTTTGGCTAGGTCTAGCGACAATATAATGCTCCATCAATTGAGCACAAATGCTGATAGTCATATAAGAGGCGGTACAGCAACTCAGCTGGTTGTATGTATTTATCTGGTTGTTGTGGAGAAAATGTTCTCCACAGCGATATATCGAATCAAACAATGCGATCTCAAATTAAAGTAGCACTTCAACGAATGAAAACCCAATCACTTGCCATCTTCAAAGAAATTTCGGAGTTCTGCGTTCATCGCAAAATTTAATATATTCGTCTGATATTCTTACAATATTACCATAGATATGGCGTACAGGGGAATAAACTACAAACTAAGATAATTATACGATATTTTACAATCTATTTAAAGGGAGAAAATTTAAAAATAATATGAAGCCATACGTGGCATAATAGATTAAGAGAAGCTTTCAGAAAACTGAAAGGCACTCGCTAGACGTTATTCCGTTCAGCACGGTTTAGAATACGGAATCTGCGATACGTGGACGTTTCTAGCACTTACGTAGACAGTTTATAGCATAAACCAGGAAGTGAAAGTTTTACGCCTACTGCTACAGAAAAAGAATTACTTCTCAGAAAATTATCTGCAGTATATCTTCGGCGTATCAATGCGTCTTTAGAAATGACATAGATTGAGGAATTTGCTGTTGCTAAGAGCTTGCTGTTACCATATATCAAGCTTTCTAACAATTGTAATTCAAATTTTTTATGCCCTAACCTCAAGAACAAACCCACTGTTACGCTATGTAAGGAATTGTATACATATGTTTATAGACGAAGGGGGGGAAACGATTTTAATTACACAATGTATAAATGTACTTTCAGAAAAATTTTCTATATTGAAATATTTATTTTTAGACGCATTTTGGGACAAAACTTCAATATTTACCTAAATTTAACTACAGTATACTACATTCTGACAAAAATATAATTCAGTTGAACGGTGTTCACGGAAAACATCGCGCAAAATCATTGTTAAAAAAGTCTTGGCAAAACCAATGCAAGGCGAAAACATCGTTAAATAAAACATTGTGGGATAAGAGAAAATATACCGCTTCTAATTTACCGTGGTATAAGACATCAGCGTCTAAAATAAAGTATTTCGTAAACTTCGCAGTAGTAAACGTTGTAGAAACTATTGGTGGTAAAAAATAAACCAACAAACAATCGCATAACAGTGACATCGCAGACGTGGTTTTTTTCAGGCTTTATATGTATATTCTCATAATGATTTATGAGAGCAATTAAGAATGAGAAATATTTTGCCTTTTCATTTCTTATTTTTGGATTAATTAATAATTTTTATGCTCGAAAAGCATCAAGAGAACTGAAGCATTTTAAAGCTGAAAATGAGTACATAATTAATGCTACGTATATCAGTTAATAGAATTTTAAATTTATATATTTAACTATTAAAAGATATTTAATTAATTTCTTTTACAGAGCTGTATTATGAGTCATCTTATCGTTTCTAACTTTTTTTGCCAATATGTTTCATTAAAAACTAGCAATACAGTTTTTTAATAGAGGTTAATTAAATAATGACGTTTAATAATTAATTACATAAATTTAAAATTATGTTAACTGCAATACGTAACATTAACGTTTTACTCATTTTCAGTATGTATCAATCTGAAAGTTATTTACTGTTAATTTATTTGAGAGTTACTCACAGTCGATCAGTGTAAAGAATATTTTGAACCACTAGTGATACCGTATAAAGTTCAGTGGCATTTGATACGTGGTAAAAAATATCAAAATGTTAACGTCATCAAATTGTAAAGAATCCAACATTCTTGCGTACTAATATGACTGTTTCTACACTGGTGTGCAAAAATTAAGGACGAAGTCGGAAAATTAGCATATCAGCTGAACGAAGAGGCAGAGCGGACAGAAAGACCAATCAGGAGATTAAGTAAGGTGATGTACGGTAGCACATGCGTAGATATGCAGGTAGACGTAATGGAGGAGTGTCTGAGTAGTATAAAGCATGTTGTCGGTGGGAGATCAGTATTTCTGGCAAAGAGATTGCACGCCGTATAGCAGTTAAAATCACACCGAGTTGCTGCCTCAGCGAGAAATGGGGAATAATCAATCTGTTAGACGACATCTGGATGCTTTTACCCGAGGTCGAATCATTGGGAAGTCGGAGGAAGGCCGCAGTGTGACAAGTGTGGCTACAGAGTTCGGAATTCCTTACAGCATCGTTTCACGACTTTGGAGACAATTTCAAACTACAGGAACAGCTAACCGGGAGTTTAGTAGTGGTCGTCTACGAGGAACCAAACCCGCAGATGACCGGTATATTGCCTTACAGGCCAGAATAAACAGGCGGCAGACAGCGGGAGAAATCGCTAGACATACGACACAGGCGACTGGACGACCGATATCGCGTTTTACCGTGGCCAGAAGACTGCACGGTTGTGTGGTCTGTTTGCACGACGCCCTGTACGGTGTACC